AACAAAATACATTCCTACACAATAAGAAATAGACATTTACACTGATATAATACATTTAGTCGCCATCATAGCTCAGTGCCACAGCACTGGTCTTTTAAACCAGGGGTCGTGAGTTCGATCCTCTCGGGTAGCTTTGCCAATACATGCTCAAGCAGAGTGTTCTTTCTAATTAAAAGACGCATGAATTTAGGGTAAGAGTTGAAAACAGTCTCTCCATCCCGCGTCCAATTCTCAATGGGGCACCATAGAGAATGTCCTTAGGGAGAGAATCGTGTAACTTTTAATTGGAAGTTAAAGGATTAATTATAAACAGCACAAATTATCAAGATAAGTGCTAATTTTTGCATATACATATGAGGAGATAAGCCAATGATTAGAAATTCAGAAGAACAGATTGTTTTATTGAGAAGATATTGCATGAAAAAAATTGCTAATCCGTAGATAGTAAATCCACTTCTGGCAGCCATACAAGCCGAAACACGGCGTGGCATTCAATCAGTGAGCTCACCTATGGCTTCATGTGGAAGATCATGCCATAATCTTTGACACTGGGCGGTTAATTCACCAGTATTCTAGGACGGTTGCAGTTGTCTTCCAAGCACGTTCCAGTCCTGCTCTGTTGGCGAGAGGTCTCGTGACCTGGCAGACCACGAGAGTATGTCTGACTCTTAAATACATTGTTGAGAGAGTCGCGTAGTATGGGGACGAGTGTTGTCTTGCCAATAAATGGCATCTGGGTGACTTGATAGCATAGGCGGTACAACTGGTATTAAAATCTCGTCCATGTAACTGCGTACCGTCAACGTGCGTTAAAGCAGTGCTTATCAAATTTTCAATATTTGCGACCCAATACTCAATCACAATTTTCACCCCCCCCATCCATACATTAGCAATGTATTGAATTCAATAATACTATACTCTGATGCTAAACCTACAGTACGACTTTAAAGGCCATCAGCGTTCATAAACGTCTTGCTGAGCCAGTGTTTTATTTGTATATATACGTCTTTCGATCCTTTCCGAAGTGCCGTATTTTCTGTGCACTGCTATCAATAAAATTATTCCGAAGGATTTGGAATGCAGTAAAAGGACCTTGACAGTGTTGGGAAGGATATACTTGTTTCAGATGATTTGCTTATTCATTCCATTTTATCCTTTTCTATCTATCCCCCCGATCCACTACATACGCTTACCTATGTGTTAAACAGTGGCATCGGGGAGAAAATCGCGTAACTTTTAATTGGCATTTAAGGGATTAATTATAAACTGTATGGATTATCAAGATAAGTTTTAATTTTTGTTTTTATTATTAAAATTGTTCTTAACTTAGTATTGTAATTATGAAATACATTGAAAAAGTACTGATATATTTATAAGTGTATTACATTAATGTAAATATGTATTTTATTTTTTTATTGTCTGAATGTATTTTATTTGTTTATTTTCAGAAAATAATAATTTTTAAAAATAATATTTTGTTTTAGACTTTTCACTATGCTCGCGCCTCTCTTGTAGGGTTATCACACCCCCTAGGGGGGTGCGCCCCACAGTTTGAAAAACAATGCGTTAAAGGATGACTAGATTTGGCATGATGGCTTGATATCCAAGATGATGCGACTTGGGTTTTCGGAACAACTCATCAAAATTATACACTCCTACCTAAATTCTCGTGAATTTAGGGTAAGAGTTGAAAACAGTCTCTCCACCCCACGTCCAATTCTGAGTGGGGTACCACAAGGATCTTTATTAGGGCCCAAGCTCTTTAATCTATACATCAACGACATTCCCAAGGCTGCCGAAGTCCACTTAGCGATGTACGCGGACGACACTGCCATTTTTACCCAAAACATTTATAACTGCAATATCATTGAGTGGCTACAAAATTATGTCATTCGACTCGAAACCTGGCTTAACGACTGGAAAATAAAGGTTAATGCATCTAAAAGCGCATGCCTCCTCTTTACGAGACAGCGGTGCATCGGAAACCTCCCGCATGTCAACAGTTTTAATCAGCCTGTCTCCTGGGTTACTGAATACAAGTACCTAGGTTTAATACTTGACACTAAATTAAACTTTGCTAAACACATCCGTTCCACCCACCAAAAGGTGGCTCGAATGAAAAACACTCTAAGTCGCTTGATTTCTCCCAAGAGCAAGCTCGCATTAAGGCACAAGGTTCTATTATACAAAGCCATTCTTCGCCCCATCATGCTGTACGCTTCTCTCATCTGGCGTATATTTTTCGAATTAATAAAACATTTCATATATTTAAGTTAAGATTTTTTCTTAAATTTTTCGTCCTCTTTTTCATTGTAAAAAAAATGGTCACCTTAGTACCGCTGCAAAAACCTTTTCGCCGTTCTCATCCGTGCGGGAAGTCTCCGGGCTTCCAGAGCATCCATCGTCTACGACACTTTCCCTGCTTTCTCGGAAACGTCGACATCACTCAAAAGCTTGCTTTCGCGGTGATGTATCACTGCCATATTCATGCTTCAACATTTCTTAAGTCCCCGTAGCACTCATTCCCAAGCGAACAAAAAATTCAATATTTATTCTCTGCTCAACAAACACCATTTTTTTTCAATCATCGGTTACTAATTGCATCCGCCTACAAAACACGACATCGAGCTCAGCCACCGGCCCCGTGACTTGAAACAACCACTTTTAAAACAGTGGAAGGACGCAGTACTACAGAAATGTTATCATAGTGACTCAACTGTAAAAATTGTTCACGTTATAGTCTCAGTCCGAGTAATTTTCAATCCTACTACGTATATTTTATTACACTTTTTGCATTGTACAGCGCCGTAAATACCTCTGTGAATTTTGGAACTAATTTTTTTTCTCAAAAAGTCCCATCTATCATGTCATCAATCGTCTGCGTACCAAGTTTGGTATCATTTCTTTTGTTAGATCTATCTACAGGTGGGTCTACATTGTCTCAAATCATACTGTATTTCTGGAACTGAAGAATAATGTAAAATATTTATATCGCATTTGAAATTTTTTTCAAACAGGAATTAGCACTTTCAATTCCTACTATTATGGTTCTCTCTCTCCCTATATATATATATATATATATATATATATATATATAAAATAACAGTGAAGAAGTACTAGAACCTACAGTGCTAAAGCAGGAAGAAATTGGAATTCACCAGACATAACAAAAGTAGATACAGAAAAGTCTTTGGACTAAACTGGAGACCTATTATGATTTCTAAAGCTGTCGCTGAATTAGGCCAATGAATTAGGGTTATATATATATATATATATATATATATATATATATATATTCTTCAAGTTTTCACAATCGTTAATAAAATACTTTCTATCCATCCACTCAAGTTCAAATAAGTTTTTTTTTTAAACTTGTAGTGGAGGACACTTGATGTTAATACAGTTTTTTCAAATATTAATTAATTAATTAATTTAATTAATTTATTTTAGCTTTATATAGGAGAAAAATTAAATTTGTTCCGAATAAAGGCAATAGATGGCGTCAGTATACATAGATTATCCTACTACCAGGTATGAAAAGCTCAATTTGTTTTTCAAGTAATAACTGACTTTATTTTTTTTATTATTTTACTTGTCTTCAAATAAAATTGGATCCATGGGAAAGATGTTTTGAAGGTCCATGAAAATGATTCAAATATTACTTTTTAATGCAGACTTGTTTAATGAACACTGTTGTAACTAATCCAAAGGTCATGGATTCGTTTTTTAATTTTACCAACAAGAAAAAAAATCTAATATTAAATTTACGCGCGTTTCGAAATTCTCACAAGATATAATCTGGTAATTAAAATAATACGAAAAATTAGTTCAAATATCATTTGCTCTAATCAGCAAATTACCGCTGCCCATGTCTACCTTCAGCATGATATCGATTTCGCAAAACAGGCGTAAGAAAAAACACGATCGCAGAGATAATTATGACGATTTCTTCGAAAACCACTAAGTACTTTAATAAAACAAAAATATTTGCAGGAGTACCTTAAATATGACCTTTTGCGATTCTAGACTCCACCATTTTTTCTGCGAAATCATAACATTACAGCAATTTTAAGATGAAAAACCAAAATAATGATATTTGAAATGAGAGTTATTTTTTTTTTTTTTCTTTCTTAGGTTAACTCACTTTTCGAGTAGGACTACAGTTTCGACTATCCTCTTCTAATTTACTGTTGATCTTACAAACTAAATCGCTTCAAATATCACTTACAGTAATTGGAAAGCGTGGTTCAGTTCTTTTTTTCTTCCACTTCCAGGATTCGTATTCTCGTAGAGCATGGGGAGGTTTATTTTCCTGGGAAGCTCTTTCAACATTTATTTTGTCAAAGAATATCGGATTTATTTCTTAAACTCTTTCAGATAAGCATCAAGCTGTGATCCGGGAGAGAAACATCAGCAACTACAGAAGATATGAAATAGAAATTGTGTGAAGAGCAGCGCCTGTAGGTGAGTTTTTGTTGAATTTCAATGCAATATAATTTTTGTATTTCTTTATAATGGAAAACTTAAATTATTGTTCTTTGCACAAAAGATTAAATAAAATAGGTTTACCATAAAAAAAATATTGGAAATTATATCAATAGTTGATGAACTATATCTTCACTAATCTTAACTGCTAAAATCTTCGTTAACTAACTAATCTAACTGCTAAAATCTTAGCGTTAACTAACTAATCTTAACTGCTAGAATCTTAATGTTAAATAATCTTAGTTGCTAAATCTAAGCGTTAACTAATCTTATCTTAAACTTAACTAAAATCGTAACTGCTCTCATAACTTAATCTTAACACGCGTACACACACACGCACACACACATACACACACACACACAATTTTAACTAAAATCATAACTTAATCTTAACGCACACACACACATTCTTAACTAAAATCATAACTTAATTTTAACTAAAAACATTACTTAATTTTAACTAAAAACATAACTTAATTTTAACTAAAGACATAACTTAATTTTATTCCTATCCAACTCAGTTTTACGAATAAAACTTAGCAGAAACTTTTACGTAGTATCTAAGAACAAAAAAAAATGTGTTTTGGTTTTCGCTTAACTGTGTAGCTCAGTGCTTCTCAAATTTTCTATATTTGTGGCCTCTATTTT